GCCCGGCCGGCAGCCGAGGTGTGGGTGAGGTGCCGTTAGCTGTCCTCCCCCTGACTGCCGCATAAACGCCGCTGCTGAGGGCGGGGGAGGTCTGGTACGTTGCCCTCTGCCTCATCCCCACGTGAGCGCGGCCCGTCGTCTGCCTTCAGAGCAGAGCGAGGCAGGAGGGGGCTGAAGGCGGCGGAGGTTTTAGGCAGACGATCTACAGCTAAACGGAACGCGCCGTTGCCCCGTCCTAAAATAGGCTTTAAGAGCTAGAAGAAAGCAAGCCGGCCGTCCTTCAGTGTGTCTTCGTACACGCTGCGCAGCTATACTGTCGGCAAAGCACGCACGTCGGGCGCTGTACAGCTACTGAAACGTTCTGATTTGCAGCAGTAGCTGCAGTCTGCTGGTCTGGTCTGAGCCCTCCGAGAGGAACAAATCCCTCTTCCACAGCTACATTTCTCATTAGTTTGCCAGGTGAGTTTACGCAGGCAAGGCTTCCATTCCGATCAGAGTTCTCGCTGACGTTCAGCACGGAGCGCTACAAAGTGCACATCAGGGCAAAATGGCTCAAATGTAGTCCATGCACTGATCCTAGAATTGGCAGTTCATTCATGGATAGCCACACCAACTGCTTAAGAAAATGATTACTGTAAACTGATGACTAAGAGCGATTCGGTTATTTAACAAACATATATATATATATATAAAAACTTATACCTGTTTCTTTTCCAAGTTAAGTAAAGGTGGCCTGTCCACCTACGTCAAAGCCGATAATTAATGTCTACTTTAGAGAATAAGTCCAATTAAAAAAAAAATTAATGTCCAATCAAGAATAGATGATGTGTCGTGATTCAGAATACCATACGTCCCAACACATTATCATTTAGCAAAAATGATGCTTCTAATTACCCCAGGGGTCTAGCACTAATCCTAGTCATCGTGAAGCAGTTTAGTTGTACCCTCAATGATGTAATATAAGAATAGAGAAAGGCTTTATTAGAGAATTCATTAGTTAATACAACTACAACCACTACCACAGATCAAACTATTGCAATCATACATTAAGTTCTTACAGTAGTCCGTGACTGACTCGCAAATATATGCATTACATCTAGTGAGGTAAATAATACTTTTATTTGATAAACAACAAGCAACCTTTTCTTGTCCGGAATTAGAGAGTCCTAAAGCTTTTAATACTTTGTAATTGCATTGATACCATTTTCCACATGCTCCCAAAGGAAATCCCTTGCATTTAATATTAGCATTTGTCGGTTCTTGAATTTGATCTTTAAGATGGTGTTACTTTGTCTGCTGCCGCGTCCTCCAGTGATGTTGGTTTACTTTCATATCTGATTGTAATGTCCACAACTAACGCCTTATCTCCCTTAGCAAATACCAGATCAGGTTTATATAATTCACGTTGTTCATCTGTTAGCAAAGGCTCTTGGAATACTATCCAATCTTTCTTTCTAGCTTCTTGTACTAGTATTTTGCATAATTGGTTATGTCTTTTTATCCTGGCATCTTGCACCATGGAGCAATATCCAATGATATGTGCACAGGTTTCATTCTCTGCTTGACAATGTTGACATGATTTAATTTGTGACTCTTGTCTTCCTTTTGGCAAGAATTCTCTTGTGGGATAAATGTTTGCTCTTAATTGTTGTGCTGTGGTGAGTTTTCTAGGCGGAATGCCTCTAGAGTATTCAATCCAATTGTTATTCATTTTATCATTCTCAGAGTTGGTAATCCCATGGCCCTGGGACAGAAGCTTGGTCCAATTCATAAATTCCTGGTTTCGTCAGTTACAAGCTTTTGGAAAAATAGTTTTTGGAGCAGGCATCTCCCATTCCAAAACTGGTTCTTCACCGCCCAATAACTCTGATATCACCATAACCGCCCTCGGGTCCCGGATGGATGGGATTTTATCCTTATCTCCTCCAGCTGTAATCCATAGTCTTTCAAATTCTTTCTCAATCCCCTCTTGTCTTACAATTGCTCTTATTGTTTAATCTGAAGATTGTGCAATTCTATGTAATCTTTGGGCTTGTACACTAGGGATCAGTCCTGAAAGTCTGGTAATACCTAGCCCTCCATCCTGAGTACTGGTGTACAGGATAGCATCACAGGTACTCGCTAGTAGATGTAACCATTCCTTGACAGCTGCTCAAATTGCCAGGTCAAGCATTTCCAGGTATGTTACTTTTATATCAGCATGGTCTGCTAAGTAGATCAGTCGTGGAATAGCATATCCTTTCAAGATGTCCACCTTGTGAAATGGTTTCAAAGAAGACTCTCCAATTCGTTGCAGCCAATCCTTTACCTTCTCCAGTAGTTCTGGGTTTGATATTCCAGTCCATGCCAGCTACTTTTCAGAGCTACCTGGTTCAATCATATTAAGGGGGGTGCCATTGATTAGCCATGGAGGACAGTCATTGAGTGTATATGAGTGTCTCATAGGTTGGATGTAAAAGCCATGGCCTTTCTCCCCCTGTGTCTTGAGGCCTGTTAGATCACAAAAGACCTCTAAGATTTTAATATTCTTCTGCATTCCATCCCATGATCCACTCAACAGTACTAAGTCATCTGCAAAAGCCATAGTTGTTATAAGTTTCAAGCAGTGTTGGAATCTGTTTCCTTCTTCCTTCAACTTGCACAATAGGGGGTCCACAGATAAGTTGAATAAAATTGGAGACATTGGATCACCTTGTTTCACACCAATCCAAATCCCAATGGGATCTGACTAATCATTCTTCATGTTAATACGAGTATTGATATTTTGATATAACTTTGTAATCGGGGTAATAATATGATTGTCCACACCCTTTTGTTTTAGAGCCATAAGTATGTGAGAATGGCTCACAGTGTTGAAGGCTTTGGCTAGATCAATGAAGACTACCCCTAGGGGTTGATGTTCTTTCTTTGCATTCCTAATTAGAAGTTGTAGTAATTTTAGATTTTCCGCACATCCTGATGATCTAATAAATCCCCTGTGCCGTGGATTAATGGGTCATGCCTTAGTCAACCTTGCTGTCAGAATCCTTGAGAATAACCTCAAGATAGTTGATCTGGTGGTAATTGGTCACCAATTGTTGATGTCATTCTGGTGCTCTAGTAAGGATGATTTTGATACTAACACAGTCCAACATTCTTTTACCATGTCCAGTACAATCCCAGGTACAGACGATAGATTGAATAACTCCATTAACTGAGTAAAGTGAAGATCTATCTTAATGATGTCCCTCAAACTTAGTCCATCAGGTCCCGGCACTGCATTCTTACTCATCTCTCTGATATTTTTAGACATTTCTTTCGCCGTGATCATGGCTTCAAATGCCAAGTTGTCCACTTGACTGATGGTTCTGAAAGCACCTGGGCCCTTGAATGTTCCCAGCAATTCCCATCTCAACTTGAGCACCTTGCACACTTCATCCTGTGCGATACCGCACTTCAGGGATGCCACATCACCCAGGATAATACCAGCAAGATTCCCTCTATCCAGGTAAAACAGCCACTGGAATCATAGGAATTGCCCCACTTTACAGCTCTCTTCTTCATACATTTCTTTGGTGGTTCTGAAGGACGAGCCCTTTGGGCCGTTTGATGCTTTCAACTTTGGCTTGCTTTCAACTCGGTGGACTTCATAAACAGGCATGAATAGCAGTCCTCAATCGCCTCATCACCTCCTGTTGATGGGTGTTCTTTCCCTTCAATTACCTTTTCAAAAGTTCCCCGAAGAATGGGCAGTTTTTCAGATGCTACCCATTCAGAAATCACCCTTCGATAATGGGACCTCAGTCCTTCTTCCACCTGTGGTCCAATGTTCACAAAACGTTCCCACTCTTTTTCTAGATGTTTTGTCCAATCTTGATCTTTTTCCCTTCTTTTCACCAGAGTCTTATGAAGACCCCTTCTCTTATCACTTACCAGTTTCGTTGTTTTCGACAGAGTATGTTCTGCAATCAACTTATTGATGTTTTTACTTCCCTCATACTGTTTATCCAACTTGCTCAATAACTCCACCTCCTCTTCTGTCCAGCACTGCTGAGGTACCCCTCTAGCAGTCCCCTTTTTGGGGCAAATGGCAGCAATCCACTCAATATTTCTAGTAACTGGATGCACCAAGCGCTTACGTTGCCCCAGGCTGATTTTCGTTTCAGATGTCCTCTTGCACTCCTCACATTTCCAACCCTCCCCAGGGCAGCTTCCATAGCCCCCTTACACTTCGGGAAGTGGCAGGCAATACTATGATGTTTCATACTAGTTCTCCCACACTGAGCACACTGGAACAGGATCTTTTTTTTTCCATATGCTCTCTTTGGATGTTTAATCAATCCCAACATCTTTCCTATCATGTTTCCACAGCATGGACAGGATCTTCGCCACCAGTATACCTGTGGTTGGCAAGTCACCACTGGGGCCTGGGATAGACGTTGATGGCAATAGAGAAAATTGAGCCATGGCTCTGGGAGGTGAGAGTTTCCCCACCTTTTCATTCTCAATCTCCCATAGGGATGGGCTGAAAACATTGCCCTTGAGACTCGAGAAGGTAGGTATCTCATACACCTCCAGTAACATGGCCTAACTGTCAGTCAAAGTAGAAGAATGCTGCCACTCCAAACCAACTACTTCTGGGTTAACAAACTCCAACACCCTCAGATCAAACCTCACCTCCAGCAACTTCCCATGGTCTCTCATGGTATGAGTGACCACATCGTCTCAGAAGTCCAAAGGACTTGTTTGTGTGGCAACTGATACAAATGCAATTCGCATTGGCCGACCCATTTTTTCAGTCCTAATATGAGGGTCTGTATAAGCCAGACAGCACCACCCTCAAGGGCTATCAGACTAGGCCCTACCACACCCATGGGCACAGATTTTGGGCAGCGACAAAAAAAAAATAATAATCAGTGCCAGGCATTTGTTTCACCTTTGAAAAAATACTGTTGAGTGGTTGGTGAAGCCAGTCAACAGGGAGGAAGTAGCCATAATTCCCACCATGGAGCAGAGGTCATCTTGGTTACCCCGAAAGGCATCCAGCGGGACCACGAGGAGGTGTGACCTCTGCAGCTCTGCCCAGTTGATAACTATGATCCCATCTTAAGAGAGTCATAGTTACTTCTGCAACATAACTGCTAGCGACACCAACTACTTAAGAAAATGATTACCGTAAGTCGATGACTAAGCAATTTGGTTACTTGAAAAGTTACACTTCTAGTCTGCTTGTAGGTAGCTGGATTTAAACTCTAAACCTGAACAAACTCCAGAGAAATTAAACAGGTTAAGGCCTCTAGAACATTGTGAGAACTCTGTCTGTTCACACAGATGTAATATTACACAGTCTTTAACTGACATCAGAAGCAACTGAAATAGCCTGTGTGCTATGACCAAGTGTGCCAAAGAAGAATTATTTCAGTAAGTCTGAGGTTACATCCATACAAGTTGTTTCACCCTGACATTTTGTGAATTGAACATAAAAGACAAGGCACACAGTGTCATAATCAGCCAAATGGCAACAGCAGTTATTCTTTTCAAGACTGTATGGCAAAATATTTCTGGTGCTTATCATACCTCCTTATCATACCTTATCATACCATACCTTATCATCAGACTAAACTCAAGCAAATTAAAATTTAAATATTGTCAAGAATCTTTACTTTTAAAGATTTGCTGTTTGTGCTACCTAGTTAAATCACTTTTTAACAGGTAGGGAGTTAATGGGTAGGGATTACTTCACTGCCAGCCCACATGCATTTGACATTTTCTCTTTGATTAATATGTCCATGATCACTTTTGGACTTTTTTCTAAGTTCCTTTACTCATCTTATTTCTCTGGATAGCCTTTTCATTCAGTCAGGATTTTGCTCTGGTACAGTGTGACATCTACAAACCATCTGTTATCTACAAATCAAAGGTGTAAAGGTGACAACCATATCTTCTAAAATCACTTAGAGATGGAATTTTTAGGCATGTCCCTATTTTCTTTGGAAAATTAATCTGATGTGCTTGGTATGATATTTCAGAAGTAGTAACTTGGACTTCTATGCATTTTAATCTATGAAAAATAGAAAACATCTGTGAATATTCCAGGAGGGACAGACCTGGTATTCACAGACATTATATATTGGAGACTCTCCAGCCTTGCATTTTGTTGTCAATTTCAATGTCAATTATGCTGTCGGCTGTAGAGACTAGGATTTCAAGATGAATTTTGAATCACAGCAGCACTGTCACTGCCATGTAAATGAAACAAGAAGCTTATCTGTATGCAATGGATTAGTCATGTGTTGTGCACCAAGAATGAGCCTGAAATAAAAGCAAGATGAAGAGTGATTAGACTGTTAATACAGCTTTTGTTATTTTGTGGCATGTCAAAACTATTATCCATGTTCTGTATTGGCTATAGCCTTGAAACAATCACACTAGATCTCTAAAACTGCAGGCTGCATAGATCATAATTAAGTTATAATTAAAAGGGAATTTGTCTTGTCAGTAAGTAGATATCTCCAAAGCTGAAATTCATTAATATTGCAGAGAACTTACTCCAAGTTGCTCTCTACCAAACTTGGTTTTCTTTAAAAAATAATGCTGAGCATCCCTTTCCTCAGAATTTGATTCATTGGTTTTACTTTGCATTCTGTTTACTCCTCTAAAGTTTAAGGGGTTTTTTACTTTTTTTTTTTTTTTAATCAAATTTTCGTACACATGACACGATCTGCCAAAAGGGCTGGGTACTGAGGAAGTGTCAAAAGTGTTCTGTGTGTATGATCATTGTGTAGGCTCTAAATGCAGGCTTTACGCAGTAGACAGCTGTAATATGCGTAATGATGAATCTACAGTGGATGTCTGTTTCTGCTGCCCAGTCTTCCATTTGTAGGGTTTTCACAGCCAACAAACTGAAGTAATCTTCTTTTATGGCCACTGTGTGCTTTCAAAATAACATGAAGGTTTGGATCATTGATCAGTTGCTAAAAAATTTAATAAGATATTGTCATTCAAGAATTGTTCTAGATTTTCAGGAAAAAAAACATATGGGCAAGCTATGACCACTTCAACCTGAACCACAGTATTGTGTGAACGGGGTATGTATTACACTCCCTCTTGTTTTGAAAATGAAGTCTTCCTGTCATTCAAAAGTATACCATAGTCTTTTGTGGTCACAGACTTCCAGATAGTTAACACTAGTCTGATAGATTCAATGTAGAAAGAACAGAAGACAGAAGGTAAATGTATTAGAGCATCAAAGTTTGCCACAGTTGACACTTAACAATACTTATTCAGGACACTAGAAAAGAGGCTGATTTACAGTATTAGTGATTGATAAGATAATAACACAATGCATTTTTTAATAACTTTTCTTCATTCCTTGAATTTATTCATTGCTGTATATAGAAGTCCAACTCACTCAGCAATAATGAGACCTTTTTTTTGATTCTTAGTAACTATCCATATAGTTAAAGTAGTATTTAAATATTTTTAAGCATGTAATATATATGACATGCTTGTAAAAACATGTATTTTGGGGTACTTAGGTCTTGGAGTAAGCCATTTTGCTGTATTTCTGTTTTTTCAAGTTCAGTCATTGCCTGCATAGCACTTCTGACAATATTCTGACAATATTATGAAAGCTATTTAGTTAATTTTGTCTCATTAAAGCATTAAAAAATGAGACTTGGGATTTTTACTGTAGTGTTTTATGTTTTCTCTTTGGCTAGATTTCTCATTTTTGTGTAAAATGTCCTATATTTTGTAATTGTGACTATAACCACTGTTGCTTTTTCAGTCAGAGACAGTTCCCATTACTGTTTTAGCTCTTCAAAAATATGAAATGATTTGGTGAGATACCAGATGTCTCTCTTCTAGAGAACAGTCCCAAAACAGACCTAATTCTGTCACTTTGGCAAATTATGTCTTCTTCACCAGTCATAATTTTGCTGAATTTGTTGAACTAATTCTTTTTCTCACTGTTTTCTTCCTATATCTTTCTAGACCATATGCTCTTTGGATTTTTTTGTTTGTTTGTTTAATGTATACTAACTCTAATTTTCAATCTGATTTAACACGACAAGCATTTGTCAGTCTCACACCATAGCCAATGTTAGCTTACTTACAGGCATCAGGGAGAAAAAAAAAAGGGCTGTGCACTCTACCCTGTCAGTGGTGGGCAGCAGGTATTTTCTCTTGGCTGTATGAGGACGTCTGGAAGGTATCCTACTTGACTTGGTGTACTTCCACATTATCTCTTACTGCACAGTATGTGTTAAAGGAAAAACTTAACATTTTGGTTTTTTGGTTTTTTTTAAACTTCTCTATCTAGCCTTTTAAAGCCTGCTTCCAAGACTAAATAGCTAGCAGTTTTCCTTTATTCTGCGGAATGCCAGCTGGCATTGAATGCTAAATGGGAAAAGGACAATAATAAAATTTCCAAAACTATTTGAAAAAGTTTTAAGAGCTGCTGCTGGGGCAGTTCTGTACAGCTTTTGTGCGTAAGCCCGAGAGGATACTTTGTTGCTAGGTGGCAATGTTCCTCAAGCAAAGATGTGTTGGCAGAGCCTGGAAATCTTTTGCTTAAAGCAAGGAGGAAATAATTTTTTCATTGTGTCATCATTAGACAGCTTTATCATATTTTTCATGGAAGCTCATAATTGCATAATGACAAGAGCACAGGGTTGTTTAATATTTGCATTATACTGTAACAGGACATAGCACTTTAACACACACAAAACGTGTAAAACAAACCACAAACTCTCAAAGTCTAACTCAGAGCAGTTCAAAGGGCAACCTCAAGTTAAAAAAAAAAAAAAAAAGAAAGAAAAAGAGGGTCATTGTTTGTGAATTTTCACAGTAAGGCACACTGAGAGATCCGAAGAGATATGAAACTTGGTATAAAGAAATAAGGTCTTCTGATAATAAGCAATTGTACAAAAACTCTTGAAACATGGAGTGGGCCCTGGAGACTGAAGCAGTGGTAAGGAAATATGCTTTGGACAGCCTGAAAGGAAAGGAAAAGGAGAAAGCTGGCCAAGATGGAGGTATAAAATACTTGCGGACTATGGAGGAAAAAAAAA